CTAGACAGTATCTGCTACTTATGGTAAAATCGCCAAGGTTAAGTAATCTGTTGTTACTGCGTTAGAAGAGTTTAAATTTGGCAAATTTTCAAGATGGCAGAATCTACGTTTTTCAGGGCTTTTCGTAAAATATCAATATCTCAGCAATGATACAACTTTTTGATTTGCGCCTTTCACCAAAATTCCTTAAAATGTTTGGTCTACAAAAGCCCCCCTACTTTGGAAAAGTTTCGAGAATATCGATTGAAGAACGTCGGTCGTGGCTTACGTGCAATGGCTCATAAAGTATTCAGAAAGATTCGCTTTAAAGGATCATACAAAATAAATTTCTCTATGTTGTAGAGCTGAAAATTCTCCATAAACTGAGCATAAAATCTTTGTGAACAACCTCTAGTATGTAGCCAAAAATGCAAAACTATTTGTCTAAATACATAAAATCGATTATGTACAGAGAAATTTAGACAAGCTCGAGGTTGACATTCCCAGGTGACTTTTCTCTGCAAAATTGTCTAATCTCAACTTTCTAATTATGGTTTTAGATAGTACCAATGGTGTGTTGCATTTGCTACGAATAACTCAAGATAGCCTAAGCGCATGAAAAAGTGTTTTTCAAAAAAAGTGTAAAATGAATTTTTTTAGAAAAGGTGTAGTGATATCCAAATGATAATATATAAGAAACAAGAGAGTGGGCTCCATAGTACCAATCCTTTATGAAAGATTTCATGCCTCCTAACTATGCAACAGTGCAAGTTTGCACATTGTGTCTGCTGTTTTATTTATTTTTTCTGCGTTTTCTGTGAAGATTCTGTTTGACCCGCTTCTGATAATGGACGTTTTGGTTTTGTTTTTGATATTTCTTTAACCACATCTTTTCGCAAATTTTCTTGATCTGTTATTTCTTGATCGACCATGTCATCTTTATACGCTTCTTCCTCATCGTCAATATCACTTTCAGGTTCACTTGGTTCAGTATCTTTTGTCGTCTGTCGTAACCACTTTAATCGTGAAAAAAATGATCGGATTTGTGATGGTTTCATAAGTTCTTCAACAGTAAACATGAATTTGCCATCATTTGTTTTGGATTGTTGAATTTTAAGTGCAAGAGCTTCTGATTTCCATCTTATACCACGCGTAATACCATCATTGAATTTATTTGTGAGATATTGTTTCTGTTTATCAGTAAATTTTGTAGCTATTCGTGGTTTTGGCAAATACGGTAATTTTATTCGTCATCTGTTGGCCGAAAAACACCATTGTGTAATAGAAAAATATAGTTTAGCTGATACAGCCATGAAAACATATCAGTCAAAATTAGAAAAAGTTGATGATCGTCAAATGGTTTCCATTCTTTTGGAAATGTCTACATTCGACAAAAGTCAATATCAACATATACCTAAATTGGATCAAGCTTGGGCATTGCCAAAACCATGAATAGCTACAAAATTTACTGATAAACAGAAACAATATCTCACAAATAAATTCAATGATGGTATTACGCGTGGTATAAGATGGAAATCGGTTTTATGTATGAGCTCGGCATAGAGTATAACTTGTGTACTTCAGATTGTCTTAAAAACTGGAGAGGGATACCTTCAAATTTGTTAACTTTTTAATCTGAGAAGTTGCAGAATATACACTCATTTTATAACGAGTGCGTTTTCCTTTTGGATAAGAACATAAAATTTGTTCTTTTCTTCGTTTCTTGCTTTGTATCTATTTCTACCCGCACACAGAAGGTGCACTGACAGCTCTGTATTTCAAAAAGTAGACTATCGTTTTCTTAAAAAGAGCTCGGCATAGAGTATAACTTGTGTACTTCAAACTGATGTAGAACACGAAGAGGGGTACATTCTAGTTAATTTTGTTTTAATCTGTCAAGTTGACAGAATATAGAGTAATTCCATAGTGAGTGCAGTGAACATTTTGATGAAAAGATACAACTTTTTCAATTTTCACTTTATTCCTTTCTATATTTGTCTGTATATATCCGTATAAAAGGGGAAAAAAATCAGGCAGAAAGAAAAATGACATTACAAGCAGAACGAATAAAATGCAGCAGGTTTGAAGTTGAACGATGAACTGTACTGTTGAATACAGTGGTATTCTAAGTGGAGCTTCTGAGACACTAAAATTGCGTGTATTCCGACGAGATCTTAGCGCCATACAACGTAATTCATCACACTGATTCCGAATATGTAAAAATCCCAAATACCGCTTCTCTTGAAAAAAATCACCAAATTTTAATATTTTCCGTTTTCTTTACATTTCCTCGTCGTTGTCAGAGTTCTCATTAGAAGGTGAATTTAGTATTGTCGTGAGGGTAAGTGTATCATCAGGATGAAGTGAGATCAATGGTGCATATGGTATACCTAAAATATGTTCAAGATTTGGATCTTCATTTTGCTGATATTTCTCACCATTCATTGCCTCTCGAGAAGTTCGTAACATGTTATTATCATTGTTGTCAGTTGTAATTGCATACGATTGAATACTGTTAGTATTGTGAGTAGTATTTGTATCGTTGGCGAATCGATTGTAATTCTGATCATTGTTGTTGTAGTTAGCAGGATTCGTGGGTGATATGGACTGTTGTTGAGGTTGTATGATAAGATGTTGAATATGATGAGGTAATGCAGGGTTTAAGCTAAGCGCATAAGGAAGAATTATTTTCGATATATCACCAAAATCAATTAAACACTTAATGTACATAGTATCATCTTTGATATAGCTATTATGATCGTGTAAAGTCATCGGTAATGGAAAAAATTTCGATATTCCCGAGTCAATATTCATTTCGTTTTTTGGTCGTTGAAAACTGTCTGATTTTGTATCGGGTCTGAACGAATTAATAATGTGTCGTTGTTGTCCAGATTGATCGTACAGACAAAATCCCACTGTAAAATCAAAAGGCCATCTCAGAATTGTATCGAATCGACCGCGCATAATAAGAAAAGAGAGAGACATGTGTGTTCTACGAGCATTCTCGTCTCCTTGTAAGTAAAGGCGAATACGCATTTTGTACCCAGTTGGAGATGAGTAGAATGTCGGTGAATAAATAGATGTTTGTCGTTCCAATTCCGCATCAGCCATTTTCTCTGCAACATTAGAAATTTTCCATATAAGAGTTCCATCGTAGCTGGTCTGTCGTAAATTTTCCCCTTTTTGTTTTACGCTTGCTGATTCTTGTAGTAAGATATCCTGGTTAAATTTAAAACCCGCAATATATGAGTCTATTTCAGCTTTTGATTGTTTAATTAAATTGATGTCGTTTTGAGACTTCTGTGATAAATGCTGTTGGCGTAACGATTCAGCACTTAAACGAATTGAGTCGTCTTTTAATAGTTGAATATTTCTTGTTACAGTTGTCAATGTCTCGTAAAACCGTTGACGTTGAGAGTAAAAGTAGTTTATAACTGACTTTGTCAATGGAGAAGTAGTATCGCCAGCTGATATTAATGATGGTAAATTAAACAGATCAGAAGTACTATTTGTGACAGCCGTATTAGTTCTACTAGAGAATGACTGATTTAGTTTCATGCTTTGTGCAAGATTGGACAGTAAACATGCTTGATGTGATTCAGTTAAATAGTGTGCACCAATATCAGATCGTAGAAACTAAGTAAACATATAAACCCTTTGTCAAATTCAAAACATTAGTGTGGACAAAGTGTTTAAAGACGAATTGACGAATCGCAATTTTTGGGTGCAAAAACGATGCAACAATTCGCATTTTATCGTTGTTTTGCGAATTCGTAATTCAATGCGAAGTGATGCGAACTAACAAAAATGATCAAAAACGAACCAAAAAATTGCCTCTTTTCTTCCTTTTGCCAATTCGTAAATTAGGGTGAATTCGTAAGAAAGGAATTTCCGGTACCTTCGAATTCGTAAATCGAATTGGTCGACCATCGACGAATTCGTGAAATGATCATTTTGGTCCCCAAGAAGTCGTGTACGAATTCGTAAATTGGCAAAAATACGATAAAATGCGAATTTACGAATTCTATTTACGAATTCATAGATGCCAAAGCATAACCGACGAATTCATAAATAGAATTCGTAAAATACGAATTGATGTCAGGAACATGACACTTTTCTCTGAGGTTAAAAAATAGGTAGATTCGTCTCTTCTCATCGATTCGCATACTTCTCACCGC